CTTCTCTGCTTTTGTCTTACCTGATCTTCCAGCAGCATTTGATATTTAATCACACTCTAATTCTTCAAATACTTTTTTTCCCTGTTGACCTCCATAACACCCCATTTTCTAGGCTCCTCTTAGTCTCCTTTAATGGCTCCTGTCCTCAGCTATACCTCTACGGTCAGAGTGGTCTGGGCTTTGCCTGTGGACCTCTTCGATGTTTGCGTAGTCTTCCTAAATGATCACATCCATTCTCTGAGCTGTAAAAGCTAATAGCCCTGTCTACGAAATTTGGGTTTCTAGCCTGGACTTCTACTTAGAACACACATCTCTATCTAACTGCCTATCTAAGTTGACATCTCTTGAATTTCTAATTAGCAACTTGAATTTAAATTTTACAAAAAATACTTTTTGGATTTTCATCTCCCAAACCTCCACCTCTCCCCTCTTCTTTCTATCTCAATAAATGCACTGCCCTCCACTCCCAGGGCAAAAGTCTCATATTCCAAAAACATGTATCTATAGTAGATGCTGTGAGGTGCCCCCAGACCCCTCTTCAGGACCAGAGGACTGATTCCCTCAGCTGCTGGATGCACTGACACTTCACAGCCTTCTGCCCTCTCTGGAAATAGCCCTCAGCTAAAGAGAGCCACCACACCCAAGATCACACTCTCTGGCCGCAAGCAAGCAACTCACATACAGTGACTGATGCTTGAGGCCTGACCCCCTCATGTAATGCAAAACAACTCTGAGAAGTTACCCCAACTTCTGTGCTCCTTGTGGGGTCAGCTGAAGCCTTCACCAAGGCCGCATCACAGTCCACCATCTCCTTCTGCCTACCTGCTTCCTTCCCTCCCCCTGGCTTCCCTTCCACAGGTGTTGATCCTGAGAGCACTGCATAATAAACTTATTTCACTTTGATCTTTCTCAGAGTCAGCTTCCCAGGAAACCCAATGCGTAACACTCTCCCAAATTTGTCCACCTCTTTCTGTTTCCGCTCTGACTATTCTAGTTTAAGCCATCACCTTCCCTCATCTTGACTATTGAAATAGCCTCCCCCCAACCTCTTTGCTCTGTTCTTGACCCTACCATCCCTTTTCCTCACAATTGTAAGTTTTTTTTTTTTAAGTATTCAATTAAGTTTTCTTATTTCATTGGACAAAATTTGGTATGTACATTTAGGAAGCATGAAACAAATGAAACCATGAACCCTCCACTCAGTGACGATATGGAACTGTTGAAGTTGCCTCTATACTTTTCCTGATTACACTCCCTCCTTAGGTGGCCCCTTCCCCAGAAGTAACCACAGTTTTGAGATTTGTTTTTATCAGTCTTTTGCTTCTATCTTTATAGTATTGCCATGTAGATATTTATCATTAAACAAGGAAGAATTTTGTTTTGCTTTTTTTTGAGGTTTATAAAAATGAAGTCATAGTGAATCTTCTGTAACTTGTTTTTTTCCCACTCAACATTAAATATCTAATATAATAATTTATGTAGGTGTTTGTAACTTAGGTTTATTCATTTCTATGCCTTAGTAGTATTAAATTAATTAACTGAATCCACAATTTATTTATCTACTCTCTGTTGGTGCATATTTGCTTTCTATTTTTGTACACGTGTTTGGTCTTTATATACAAGAATGTCTCCAGCATGTATATACCTAGGAATAGAATTGATTAATTTAGTTTATGCAATTGTTTAATTTTACAAGACAATGCCAAATTATTTTTCAGAGTGATTATACCAATTTTTACTTGTTAACAGTTATAAGAAACCTGTCGCTGTACAACTAAGTTAATACTTAATGTTGTTAGACTTTTACTTTATGCCAATAAAATGGATATTATCATTGTGCAATTGACATTTGTCGATTACTAATAAAGTTGAGTATCTTTTCATATGTTTGCCATTTGTGTTTCTTTATCTGTTAAATTTCTGTACATATCTTTTGCTCATTATTCCTTTTTTTTTGGTTTTTAAGAATTTTTTTTATATACTGTATATTATTATCCTCTACCAGTAATATATTTAGCAAATACCTTCTCCCAAGTTGTGGCTTTTAGTTTTCTTTATAGAATATTTTGATAACAGAAGTCTTTTATTTTAATCGAGTTGAATTTATGAATTATTTTCTTTATGATTTTGTGTTTTATTCAATAAATCCTTCCTTTTCCTGAGATTATACATATTTTCTTCTAAAAGTTAGAACTTTACCTTTCACATTTAAGTTTTAATTCATTTCATGTAGGTTTTTGTGTACAGTGTGAGTCAGATATCTCATTTCCCTTTTTTCCAAGTGGATAACTAAAGAATTGTGAAGGGTCTGAGATTTTATCCTACTTGCAAACTAAGTTAGCCTGCCATAGTTTCATGGATGCTGGCAGAACACAAGACTCCTGTATCAGAGACAAAGGACTTTATTCCTTATGGCACAACAAGCAGCAAGTTGGTATTGCTTCCCCATGCTGCATTCCCAGAGGGTTATGAGAAGAGGGCTGGATGATACCTGCATTATACTATGTTGCATTACGGGAGAGGAACACTGAGCTTAGAGAACCTGAATTTTTTTAATTGGGCAATAAGCCAGCCTGAACTTTGCCCCAAAGGGAGACATTTTTATTATAGAACAATTAACAAATTTATTCTTTGCTCTGGAGAGAGGCCTTGTCTCTACCTTCCTAGGCTGTTTGCTGTACAGTCTTGAAAAGATAGCCTTCAATGAAGGCAGTCAGTGTCTCTGCTGGCAAGATGTGCAGAAACACAAACCTCATAATTGTTGAGTTTAATTGGTGAGAGATATGTTAAAGATGCTTTCTTCCAGATACGATGTGAGTTTGTGTTTACCAGTTACCAGAGCCCTAGTAAGCTCTTTAATTTCATAGTTTATAGTTTCTTTGACCATATGGAGCACGTATGATTGAATTCTAGACTTGAGAGGGCCAGGTCTATGGGTTAAAAATTTCAAGGGGTGAATATTTCTCCCCCGCTACCCTCAATCTAGAGCCAGTGAGTGTGCAGAGAGACTTCTTGATAGGCTTCTTTTGTTTGCTAGCATGAATATCTTTCCTGGTCCACCTGTCAAAGATTGTGGCTATCTTCAAGTGTCCTGGTTTAGGGTGGGATTCTCAAATTTAGCTCATCCAGTTCCAATGCCCCAAGGCTTAGTCTCCCATGCTCTACTCTGATATATGGATTTGCCTTTGGGCAATCCCAATTTTTGCATTTGCTTACACTTTACACTCGGTTTTCAGTTTCTTCTTTTTTTTTTATGCCTTTGATAAAAGTAAGATTTCTCTTACTTTCTTGCAAGCTAAGTCATGTATTAATAAATAAGCTCATTGTAATTCATCCAAGACCTGGTAGTATTATATAATGAAGGCTTTTTAGAATATCTAGTTCATACTGCTACAAGCAGAAGCCAAGAGTAATCTTTTAAAAATGTAAAATAGTTTGCATCACTCTTCTCTTAAGGCCCTCAGATAGCTTTTTCTCACACTTAAAAAATGTACCATTCTGGCCTACATAGCCTAGAGCTCATTCTTGGCTCAGCTCACATAATCCACCTAAGTGCCTTGCCACTCCTCAAGCGTAGTGACCTTGTCCCTGGCCTTTATACTGGTGGCTTCTCTGTGGGGCACGTTCTTCCCCCTTTCTTTATATGGCTGGCTCGTTCTTTTCTTTCTCACTTAAATGTCACCTTTCTATAATGTCCTTCCTTGATTAGCCTTCTCATTTTCCCATCATCACCACCATGTTTTAATTCTCTCTAGGGTACCTATCACTAGCTGACATTTTCCTGTTTATTATCCTTTTTCTTACTGGAACTTAAGACTCATGAGAGCAGAGATCTTGCTTGTGTGGTTTACCACTACCTTCTCAGGGTTTAGAATAGTACCTGGTACACGGAGGGGCTCAGTACTTATTTGTTGAGTGATTAGATCTGAATATTGGCTAATCTCTTTAGACAGGACCTAGGCTCTCCAGTGCTCCACTGTGCCCACTTCCTCCTATCATTTCCCCAACACGACTGTCTTTGCTTTGTTAATCTATGTATCTACCTGACCCTTGTAGGCATTTTAATTTTCAGTCCCTGATCATAAATCTTACTCTAATTATCTTCAGCATCTTGAGAGCAGAGACTGTGTTTTACATTTCTTTTCTTCCATCAATGTCTTGCATGTAAGTAGGAGGGGGAAGGAATTAATATTCATTGAATATCTCCTACTGTCAAGCACAACACCACTACTATAATTTCCATCTTCACAACACCACTATGAGGCTGGGTATTATTTATGTTCATTTTATAGATGAGGACATCAAAGTTTAGAGTTGTTCAGAGTTGTATAGTAAATGAAGTATCTGGCATTGGAACCCACCTAGATTGCACATACTCAATATGAACTATTTCTTTTTTTATTATATATTTTAATTAAAATTTATTGGGGGTGATGTTGATCAACAAAATCCAATGAGTTTCAAGTGTACAATTCAATGATATGTTGTATATATATTGTGTTGAACTATTTCAAAAGGGGTGCTCATGTCTAAAGAACAAGTGGCTGTTTTCAATTTGCAAGGTAAGGATTGAGTAATTAATTCAATATTTCGGGTCAAGTTTTACTCGAATAGTCTGGCTTTTTCCTTATCAATTTTATTCCACTGAGAATATGAAGATTTAGCTTGAGGTATGTCTATATTTGGCTAGAAGAGGCTTTGGAGATGTTAATGATATATTCTACATGAGGGTCCTGTATATCCAATAAATGTCTGCTGATAGCAAATATTATGGAATCTGAGAGCAAGGAGATCTGTTATTTAAGTCAAATCATCACCTGTCCCTAGGTCGCTGGACAAAGACAGACACTGAATGCACTGAATGTGTGTCACACAACCAAGCGATTTTTAAAATAACAAAATCTTATTTTTATTTTTTATTTTTTACAGAAATTCAGATATTCCAACAAATTTCTTTACATTTCCTGAACCTTAAAAAATTACACACAACTTTTGGACGCAATACAACAGAACAGAATGAGAAAGGGAGTCACTTTTTTTTTTTTTTAAAAAAAGTTAAAAACATACTTCTTATACTTAATCAACATTTAGTGATTTACATGTGTATTACCTATGTACAAATAGTACATTGTCAATGACCCATCTTCAGAGCACTGTGGTATGCTAAATTACACTTAGGTTTTATGGAAAAACTTTTTAAAAACATTTGCATGTGGATAGGAAACATTTTTCATTTTTTTAAATACCACTATTAGTGATGTAAAACTCCAATGGAACCTATAATTTACATGGATTAGAGAAAACCCATACCTTCTGTCATTATTGCAGATAGAGAGGTATCTCCCTTTAAATAAAAAATGAATTCTTGAAAAGTTGTGTGTAATTAAATTTAGTAAGTAGGATGTTTTGAATGCAGTGGAAGAGCTAATATTTAAAGCAACAAATAACTCCCAGAATGGCTAATACTTTAGTGATAATAAGTATTCCCTTAATTTAGTTCTTTAGAAAATCCCTATCTTTGTGAATTGGGTTTCATTCATTTAAGTATACCTGTAATATATTTTTAGCCATTAGAAACATAATCTTGTTTATGGTGAAAAGATGTCTAGTACCAGAAATATTTGGCAAAAACAGGAGTGTGATCCTAACAGATCCTAACAGAGGGTAAGGAAAATCAACCATGATCTGTATTACTCATATTATCCTCCATAGGTGCTCCAGTAATATATGTTAATTCGATCTTAATTTTGAGTCTAAAAATGAAGGCATGTTTCCTGCTCAGGTATAGAACATGGTTTAGCTTACACTGATTAGCCCTGAATGTACAATTTAGCTTGTGTTCATTCTCAAGTAATTGGCTACTTCAATTTTTAAATATTTTCCTGTTGTTGTATACTGGCAGGATATGTATGAGGTGGGGGCAGAGGAAGCCTGGGAGCAAAAGATTGTTGAAGACAACTGATCAATTGTACCTACTTTCAAATGCCAACAAGCTAAAAAATTTTTGAGTATTTTGAAACCAACATTAGTAAACAAAAAGGCAACTTACTCCTACCAAGTTTCTTTGACCTGTATAAGTATATATTCAGTTATTTCTAAGGCTATTAAGTTATTATTTATTTAGTTAGTACCACTTACTATCATTTAGAAGTAGATTTAATGAAATGACTTTTTAAAAAACAAAACAAAACGAAAGTGCCTGTCAGTAGGAGACTTAAAGGATATGGATTTTTGATGACATGATGGCAAAGAAAAAGAAAAAAACATATTTAGATGCCTACTTATAAAGTGTATTAAATTACTATGCATATACTAGGGAGAATTAGAAAAAGTATTTATTTTATAGCAGCCTACATATTACATGTGAGCATTGAAGATGAAAATGAGCTTTCTACATTTTTCAGAGTTCCTTGATGTTCCTGAAAGATAGGGAAATCTATGTTGTTTGAGAACCTAGGATGCAAAGATGTACTTCTTGTAATATACAGCTTGATGGAGTAATAGTTTATGTCGGAAACACTTTCTTAATAACAACTTGTACAGACATTAAACTGAACACAGACTGGGTAAAAAGTTTGAAGTGTTACATCTCTCAACTGAGTGGTTGTAACTAATTACACAGTGAAATAAACGAACAGCAGAGATAGGGGAACCTAGGTCATGGCTCCTAAGAAGATATTCAGAGGCATTTTCTAAGATGCTTTCTCAATAAATGATGCTTGATCAGCCTCTTGGTTACTGAGATAAGAATAATTTCAGATTGACTGCCTTTTTAAAAATGATGTTGAAAGATTAAAGCTTTTTGTTTTCAGTTCGATTTAAAAAGGACAGTTTACAAATCTCAGTACATATATATTTTACATGTTAATTCTAGCACATTTATATTTCTCTTCTTTGAAGTATTTCCTGAATGTGATTTCTCATGAATGCAATTTCTCATGAATGTTATCTGATCTTATTCAATGATAGTTTCCAATGAGCTGGTGTTAAATCCATAATCACCTCTCCTTCCAGAAAATCACTCCCATATCTGCTGATCTAGATTTACAGGTGCTTTGACAAGTGGATGTTTCACTCTTTTTCATATCCATTTCTGTATTCTGATCTCTCCCAAGTGTCTTCCTTCTTGATGTTGATGTACAAAAGCTGTTATTCGATTTGTTTAGCTTGTGCTCATTCTAGAGAATATTGGCTTAGCAGAACTGCAGAAAAGGATGGGGGGAGGTAGGGAAGAGAAAGAGAAAAGAAAGGAAAAGCATCATTTTCTGTCAGCAAGATTTTTGCGCATATTTGTCAAAGAAAAATCATACCAACAAATGTCTCATACGCACTTGTTACAAAGAAGACTGAAAAGTTTGAGTTTTCTGTTCTGTTAAACAAACAGCACAGTCTTCTGGCAAGGGGTTCCCCCCATAACCCAAACATGCGTATTCTGTATATCTGGGTGAAGATTACAGGCTGCTTTGAGGGAACAAGGAAGGATACGAAATGATCCCAAGTGTCACTGTTTTTTTTTTTTTTTTGCCTGGTATAGAAAACGCCTCATGTGAGTGTTTTCCTTTTCTCTTCAAGTTTTATTTATTTATTATACAATCAACATTATAACAACTAGGAAAGAAATGATTATAAAGATGAATCATTCACAATCTAATCACCTTGACACACCAATTGTTTTCTTCCCATTTTTTTTTCCCATTCCTTATCTAAATGTGGACTTATTTTATATAACTGGAAACATGGTGACACTTACAGATGACACTTTTAACATTATATTAAAAACAGCTTCCTACAGTTCCACTCTTTGCATCATCAGCATCAATTTCTAATGGCTGCATAATATTCCATTCCCATCTCCATTCCTTTCCTTTCCATTCTCCATTATTTCACCATTGTCATATATGTAGGTAGGTTTCTGGAATTTTCGTTATTATCAGTAATGAATATCTTTGCATATAAAGCTCCATTTGTTCTTTTAGGGTTAGGGTTAGGACACATTCTCAGGGGCTGGCTGCTTTTCCTTTGCTTCATCGTATTAGGGATCATACTTATTGATATAACTAGACCACAAATGGTGTGATTGACTCCATTCTTTGGATGACATTCATAGACATCGGCGCTGTTAACCAGGAATTAAGCGGGGTACCCTTATCTATTGTGAAGATGGGTCAAGGCACCTAGCTGGCCAAATTTGGGCTGAAAGGAAACAGTTTTGCATCACAGAGCACTTAGAAACACAAATGAAAATAAAACAATTCAGCCATTATTCAATTATTGTCCTCAATCCACATCACAAGATAAGATTATGGTGTTCGAATGAGTGCTAGATAAACCTCTGAAAGATTCTATTGTCGTTTCCAGTATTTATCCTCTTGTTTTCCAACACACTTAAAAAAATCTTATGCACATTATGGTTTTAATGAACTTCTCTCAGTGAGAGAACTCAGTTACATTAATGTACCCAGTAGACTACATAGGGGATAATTGAAATATGATCATGTCGTAATGATGATTAGTCTGTAATAATTTTCTGAGATTGAATCATGCTGGCAGAAACCCTATGGAAGGGAATGCTTTCTTCAGATATTATTAAAAGCAATTTAAGCCATCTGTGGATTTTATACAGTGCTATGGGCACTTCTGAACCTTGAAGTGGTCTCTGCTGCCTTGCCACGGAGCTGCTCTTGCTAGATGAAATCCAAAGTCAAGTTTGTGGGTCCAGGATTCCACTACTCTGGCATTCTTCACTCTGGATATTTTTCAATTTAAAATTCACAAAGCTGAATGTCTGGATTTTCCAGTAAAATCTGTGAAAGGCACTAGCTTGAGTGGAGAAAGGAGTGGATGAGGGTTGTAAACATATGAAGAAGAATAGGTAAGTGGGTGTTGAAAAGTGTCTATGCACTTGGAAAAGAAGGTAGCATAAGGAAGTGCCCAGCGCTATATGTGTGTGATGCAGAGGAAGAGGGAGGCAAGAAGGTTGTCTCCATTTTCTTGAGGTTTGCAAATAAACATACTCCCGATTTCATGATAGAAAAGCCTGCTTTGGTATAAGCCATTTGTTGGCATCCAGGAACCTGAGACTTCTACTTTCCCTTTTTCTGTCTCTAAGCCTGCTAATTTGGCTTTATGACATCACAGTGAGCCGGGAAGAGAGCAGATGGGGGTGGAAGGGCTTTTGAGCAGCCACAGAGCATCGACACCCAAACCTGGGGAAAAGGGAGCTTCCTGCAGGATATGCATCTCCCTGGGAAGATCCTGAGCCCTCTTGTAAGAAGGAAGCGTCTGTAGCCAGTCTCACAGGGGTTTCTGTTTACACCTCACCATTGGGCCTGCAGCCCAGGGGCTGACCAGAACAGGTCATTCATCACCAACCCTCTTGGATCGGCTCTGGTCTTGGGCCACCCGTAGCCTCCATGTGGCCAAATCCGTCTTTGGATCCCTCACTGTAACCCTACCATTAATTACTCAGCCTTTCTTTCTTGAAGCTCTCTTTTTTGTTCCATTGTCAACATTGGGACTATACTACCCACTCACAGTATCAGTATTGGGCAGGTTGCTAAGAAGTGAATGGAAAAATAAGAGAGTGAAACCAGTGGATCACGCCTGGACTAGAGTGAGGCCAATGAGGCTCCTAGGGTATAAGATTTAAGGAGGTGCTCACTCTCAAGGTCGTGCAAACCAGAGTGAGTGCCTCCTTCATTTGTGGGCACTAGGCGACTCATTGGCTTCATCCTAGTCCAGGTCCTGCCCGTGAACACAGGCTGCTTATCACAAGGCTTCATGGGAATTTTTTTTTCCCCTCTTTAATCCCCCTCCCCCCGCCCTGACACTTCCACCCCTGATTTTGCCTATGGATTTTGCCATTTTTCCCTTAAGAACTGGATCTCTGAAGGCAGGGTATCTCTTCCCACAAGCTCGTGGCCTGCACCTGGGGCCTGGCGCATCCAGGGTATGGTCTGTGGCTCTTCCTGGGGTGTGAACCCAGGACCTTCTGAGTGTAAAGCAGATGTGCTAACCACTACACTAGGGAGCCACCCTCTTGTGAGAATTTTTGATTGAGTTACTTGGACAGTGCTACCACTGTGTATTTTTTCTTCCTAGTGCATGATACCACCACGCAACAGGAATCTCGGGGTATGTGAGAATTCTGCAGACTATGCTGGGCTAAAAATAACCAGCATATTTGTTCCAGTGGTGATCAGAACACAAACACTCCCCACACAATATCAGAAAAATACTTTGCTGTGGAGAGTAAAATTAGAATGCTACTACGATTACTTAAATGGCATCCACAAAGAAGAATTTTCTACCTGAAGGCTTAGAAATGGCTAGCCCTTTGAGAACACTTGTGAAGCTAGTAGGTGGAAGAGGACAAAAGGCAGAGTTTCCCTCTGCAGATTTTGCTGTCATTCTTGCAGTCTCATGACTGAGACACCAAGGCGGTTTGCAGAGTTCAGTGGAAGTGTTCGTGAGGTTACACTGTGATCTTCACTTTGTCAGATGTTCTGCTTTTTTCAAATCTTTTTTCCTTGCACCGTGGATGCTGCACAGCTCGAGGGAGGTGGTTTAAAAGACATCATATTCTCCTGGGTTTGTACAGAGCAGGACTGAATAATAAGTCATTCAATGATTCTTTGGGTCTTTGTTCAGTCAGGTTTGTCCTTGTTGTAACACCTCATGGGCTCTGAGTTGCCCATGTTCCATTTCCATAGGGCTCTTTGCAAATCCTTTTCGAAGCTGTCACTTGCATCACTGTGCATGAGAGCAGCATTTATAATGGCCACATTGTCTGGACTATTTAAATGCTGCGTTGTTGAGTTTTGTGTTTGGACTTTGAAAGGTCTCCTGTTGTCCTCTTCTGCTGATGGTTTCTACCTGATCTATTCAGTTAGGGCCTCGAGCTCCCACTGTCAGGAGAGCTGGGGGCGCAGGCACTGTCTGAGTGAAAAAATGGTAGCAACATCAGGCTTTTAGCAGAATGAATGGCTTGCTAAATCTTTGCTGTGAAAATGAGTAAGAGAGGACTTGCAGGCCATTTTTTTCTCATTGGCTATATAGACTTAGTTATTTCATCGCATTCTATTGTTTTAAACAGCATCTACCTCTCGCAGGGCCTTCTGACACCCTTTCTCTCTGGGAGATTGAATAGAGTGTCCTGGAAATAATATCTCACAATCTGTGACCTCAGGTGCTCTAGAGAAGATGTGCCCCATAGTGGCTGTGGCAGCTTAAAGATGGCTACAGATTCTTTCCCATTCTTCCCATTGAGAGGTGCAGTTTATGTTTCCCTCACCTTGAATCTGGGCTTTAATAGTATAGGAAGTTTACTTTTTATTGTGGTAAAAAACATAAAATTTGATTTACATCTTAACCATTTTTAAATGTACCATTCAGTAATGTTAGGTATATTTACATTGTTGTGACACAGATCTCCAGAACTTTTCCCTCTTGCAATTCTGAAGCTCTACAGCCACTAAACAACACTCTTCTTTTCTCCTTTTCCCATCGCTTAGTAACCCCCATCTTGCTTTCCGTTTCTATGAATTTCGTGACTTTAGATAGCTCCTATAAGCAAAATCATACAATATTTGTCTTTTTGTGGCTGGCATATTTTACTTAGCATGACGTCTTCAAAGTTCATTCATGTTGTAACATATAACAAGATTTCCTTTTTTTTAAAGGTTGAATGATATTCTATTGTATGGATAGAACACATTTTATTTTCTCATTCATCCACCAACGGACACTTGAGTTGCTTCCACCCTTTGGCTACTCCACATAATGCTACTATGAACACGGGTGTCCAAATATCTCTTCGAGACTCTACTTTCAGTTTTTTTGCACATATACCCAGAAGTGAGATTACTGGATCATATGGCAGTTTTATTTTTAATATTTTTGAGGAATCTCCATAATTTTTTTATTGCACCATTTTTTCAATCCCACAGTACACAAGAATTCTAATTTCTTCACTTGTTATTTTCTTCTATTCTTGTTTTTTTTTTTGACAGTGGCTATCCTAATGGGTATGAGATTTTTCAACAAAACTCTGACAAAGTTATTAGTCACTAAATTTTGGGACAGTTTGTTATGCAGCAATAGATAACTGGAACAGAGGACAAATGTCTTTTTTTTTTCCCCCACTGTGCTTTAGATTTGCTGTATTAAATATACGGTAATGATATGTGCACTTAGACAGTTC